ACTGGAAGTGATGTGAGCATGTGTATGGAATTTAAAAAGTCAATGATGATAGAGTTTGATATGTCTGACTTAGGAAGAATGAGACACTTCCTTGGAATGGAAGTGCTGCAAAATTCAAATGGTATTTTTATTTGTCAAAGAAGGTATGCACGAGAAGTGTTATCAAGATTTGAAATGTAAAATAGCAATAGTGTGAAAAATCCAATTGTACCGGGAACAAAGTTGTCAAAGGATGAAGGAGGAACTAAAGTTGATGCAGCAATGTTCAAACAAATGGTTGGAAGTCTCATGTATTTAACTATAACTCGTCCTGACTTAATGTACGGTGTAAGTCTCATAAGCAGGCACATGTCTAGACCAACCATGTCACATTGGTTGGCAGCCAAAAGAATTTTGAGGTATTTAAAGGGGACAACTGAGCTAGGCATTTTCTACACAAAGAATGAAGGTTGCTCAAAACTCTTGGCATTCACATATAGTGGCTATGCGGGTGATCTTGATGATAGAAGAAGTACATCTGGATATGTGTTCATGATAGGATCTGAAGCTGTATCCTGGTCGTCAAAAAAGCAGCCTGTAGTGACTTTATCAACTACCGAGGCCGAATATATCGCAGCAGCTCTATGTGCTTGTCAGTGTATATGGCTAAAGAGAATCTTGAGAAAGATTGGAGTGGAGCAGGTTGAAGGAACTATAATTCAATGTGACAGCAGCTCTGCCATTCAGTTGACTAAGAATCCGGTTTTTCACGGAAAAAGTAAGCATATTCATGTGCGGTTTCATTTTTTAAGAGATTTAGTGAATGAAGGTGTTGTAGAATTAAAGTACTGCAACTCACAGGAGCAAGTAGCAGACTTGATGACAAAACCACTCAAACTTGAACAGTTTGAAAAACTCCGCGGTATGCTTGGAATGGTTAGTGCGTCGAAGTTAAACTAAAATACATGTGTTTTAGTTTAAGGGAGGGAATGTTAGGTGGACACGTATTAGTGTTTTAGTATTTGTTTTAGTCTACTGTTTTATTATTCTGTTTGAATAAGACCTATTCTTTAGGAGAAATAGGGTTTGTTACTTGTTTTACTACTCTGTAGGCATGTAAAGAGTAGAGTTAGTTATTTCCTTTTGCTTGTAAGATGGCTATATATTAGCCACTGATTAATCGAATAAAACACATTCCTCCACTCACTTTTGTAGCTTTGTTAAAATCTGATTTCTAACACATAAAGCATATTATAAGTTTATAGTTGTAATTCTGAAAACTCTCTTTACATAATCATTTTCAATACGTCAATCAAATGAAACTCCTACGATATCACCAATATTTTAGTAGTTTAACCTAAGAAGCAAAACGTAGATCACCATGTGTTGGTGTATATGGCATATGGGTAAAAGTAAAACAAATGCGTGACATCTATTTTGCTCAAAAAAACAAAGATTCATATATAATATTCCATTAAAACATATTCGTAAGTATAAAATAAACCAAAGTTTTCTTTCCATTGAAACAGGTCCATAAGTATATAATAAATTAAAATTTTCTCTCTCATTCGAATAGGTTAGCAACTTTATTACCAAAAATTCTACACAATGGAGCTATAGTTGAAGGAATATTTACACTATAACCAAATTATAGATATAATTGTAGGGCATATTATAATATACATAATTCAATAAACATGTGTACATGTCATGTTTGAATCCATTGCTTAAGCGTAAACTGAGAATGCTACTGTCTTCTTTCTGATGGAATGGTTACCTTAATTATCTGACCTAATAGGATAATCAAATATATAACCATCAGATGAGGGAAAAGACCTCTCTCAGCGGGTTATCCAAAAGAATTACCCAATCCATCACGGGTCATTCAACAATTAAGGCTAATATAATATTCATTTAATTAAGTAAATTAATAATTGATATAATAATTATATTTTATTTAATAATTAATTAAAGAAAATCTATTATATATTTAACATTCTCCCACTTGGATGACTTTAATTAATTATTAAAATAACACAATTATAATAACCAAATATATCAACATTTATCATCAAAATAATGTGAGAAAGTATAAAATTTAACAATGCAAAAATTGTATCCGATAGAAAAACAAATCACACATTTCAAATACTCACATTTCACATAATGATAATGAATATGAATTAACATAATATAATGAAGAAATATGTAATCCAATAATGGCTCATGCATCTGAAATGCTATAAGAGATATGATTATTAAATTGACATCATCTTATACATATCTCATTACAATAATTAAATACAACAATAACACCCCCACTAACCCAAAATATCAAATGACTTAATTACACCCATGTTGGCTACATGCCATTGAAAAACACCAACAGTCAAGCCTTTCATCAGTGGATCAACCAACATGTTCTTTGTGGCAAGATGTTCAATGCGAGTATGAAATTCAAGAATTTTCTCTCTGACAAATAGATACTTAATATCAAAATGCTTTGAGCGAGAAGAGCTCTTAGTGTTCTGAGAGAAATGTACAGCAACATAATTGTCGCAATATATCACAAGTGGCCTGGATATGCTTTCAGCAACTTTGAAGCGAGAGATTAAATTCTTTAGCCACATAGCTTGACAAGTAGCTTCATAACAAGCTAGATACTCTGGCTCCATGGTTGAGGTAGCTTTAAGAGTCTGTTTAACACTCTTCCACGAAATAGCTCCTCCTGCCATCATAAAAATTAAGCCGGAAGTAGACTTTTGGTCGTCAGGGCAACTTGCAAAATCAGAATCAGAATAACCAATGACCTGAAGTTGATCAAACTTCTTATAGGTCAACATGTAATCCTTGGTTCCCTACAAATATCACATGGCCTTTTTAACGGCTTTCCAATGACCCAATCCTGGGCTACTCAAGTATCTCCCTAAAACATTAACTGCATATGCAATATCGGGACGAGTACAAACTTGAGCGTACATCAAACTGTCAACAGTAGAAGCATATGAGACTTTTTCCATTTCAGCAGTTTCTTTATCATTTTGAGGAAATTCAGATTTAGAGAGTTTATCACCCTTTTGGATAGGAACAGTGCACGGGGAGTAAGACGACAGATTAAAGCGTTTAAGGATTCTCTCAATATATTCTTTTTGAGACAAACCAAGAACACCACGTGACCTATCACGAAAAATTTGGATGCCTAAAACAACAGAAACATCACCTAGGTCCTTCATATCAAAGTGGTTATTTAACATTGTTCTTGTCTCATTCAAAAGACTTACACTAGTGCTAGCAAGATGGATATCATCGACATATAACACTAAGATTGTAAAATCTCTCTCACCGGTCTTTAAATAAATGCACTAATCTGAAGCATTTTCATTGAAACCAAAAGAAGTGACAACTTTGTCAAACTTTAAATACCATTGTCTAGATGCCTGTTTTAATCCATATATGGATTTCTTCAGTTTGCATACTAACTTCTCTTTTCCTGCTTCAATAAAACCTTCAGGCTGAATCATGTAAACATCTTCAACAAGTTCTTCATTCAAAAAAGTTGTCTTCACATCCATCTGGTGAAATTCCAAATTAAAGTGTGCAACCAAAGTCATAACAACTCGAAAAGCATCTTTGGTCGAAACGGGTGAGAAAATTTCTTTGTAATCAATCTCTTTTCTTTGACTATAACTCTTTGCCACTAGTATGAGAAAAAATAGTGTCAATAATATATGTAACGATATGAGAAAAATAATACCTCGGAAAACAAATTTATGAAGGATTAAAAAAATTTACGTTCCAGCCATCAACACAATATTAATCAACAACACATAGTACACATGCTATAATGGATGTAATTCTCATAATCACCAATGGGTAAATTAAAACAAATAGTCATACGTATCTATTTGGCTCTGATACCAATTGAAGGAATATTTACACTATAACCAAACTATAGATATAATTGTTGTGCATATTATAATATATATAATTCAATAAACATGTGTACCTGTTATGTTTAAATCTATTGTTTGAGTGTAAACTGAGAATGCTACTATCCTCTTTCTGATGGAACGATTATGCTTAATTATCTGACCTAATGGGATAGTCAAATATATAACCACCAGATGAGTCAGGAGGTTATCCAAAAAAATGACCTAATCTATCACGAGTCATTCCACAATTAAGTCTAATACAATATTCATTTAATTAAGTAAATTAACCATTGATATAATAATTATATTTTATTATTTAACAATTATGTACAATACAATATTCAAATTAATAATTGATATAATAATTATATTTTATTTAATAATTAATTAAAATAAATCTATTATATATTTAACAATAATTGCATAGAGAGGTAGGGGTCATTCCTCTGTAAATGAAAAAGTGAAATGAAACATAGTCAAACAGTGACAGCTTCATACCATTCAAATTCATTCTTAGTCTTTTCATATACTCATCAACAGTACTCCTCAACAAAACTTCTCAGCCACACTCATTCCTCAATTTCTTTAATCTTTGTTACACATAAATAACAATTCAGCCAACCACCACACCAATCTCTTTTCTTACTCGTTACAAGTATTTGTGTATTATACACCAGATGTCTCTATAGAATTTTAGTAGTAAAAGGAACAAAATCAATGCTACAACATAATTCTAGGCAGATCCTGTTTTTGTTGTTCAATCTCATCAATACCTGTTTCTGTTTTCTCTGCTTCTCTGTTCAATTTCAATGCAACAACCCGTTCTTACTTTCTCTGTCTACATAAGTAAAAAAACTTTAACCCATTCTTTTCACTTTTGCTCAGATTCGTTTTTCTATAAATTCTGTTCAGAGAATTAATAACCCCGTCTGAGGTATTTTGGGAACCACATCATAGCTTCTTGTTAGAGTACTTTTTCGCTTTAAAAGTTTTATACCCATTCATTCTTGTAACGCACAACAAAACACTAGAAAACGGTCACTTTCTATGTGAAGCAAGGTGTTTTGTTTTGATTTAAGAAACCAAAAGATGGATGTAAGCTTATTTTCAGCGACCCTTTTCCCTTTCTTTTTCTTAAGCTAGTTGTTGAAGTTCATGAAAAATGATTATGTCTGTCTTTATTGATAGGAACATTGGAAGAGAAGTGGCCAAATACCAGCTTTTGGGAACTGGGATTTCGCAAACGAGTTGCCGATAACTCAGTATTTTGAGAATGCGAGACAAGCTGGTTTGATTCGTTACAGTTCTTCATCTGGTGACACTGATCCTTACCTGCATGGAGGAGATCAAGATCTTTATGGGGTTGATTTTAAGAAACTTGGAAAGGTTGTCACTTTTTGTTTAATTATTTTTTGTGATTGCATATTAATGTGATGTTTGAGAAAGGACATGATGTCTGAATACCACATGGGTTGAGTCATATTTTTTTATTAAATTTTTTTAGTTTATATATTTTGCTTCAGATAAGAACAAGATATGTGATGTGGTAATAGTGTGTGATGTTGTTTGTGGTTTATTTATCATGTGTAGGCGACGAGGAACAGAGAAACAACCATGAGAAAACAGAGTAAAGTGTACGATGTAACTGAACATTCAACGAAGGCAATGAAGAACAAGAAGACATTACATGTAAACGACGTCGTAGTTCGTAAGTCTCCAAAACCAGTTGATGAAGATCTCTATAAAATATCTCCTGAACTTGTTCGCACTACCAGACGGGTTCGTTGGTTCTTTTGTTTTTTTAGTATTAAATGTTGTGAATTGTGTTATCTGTGATTTGATTCATTATATTGACTTGAATTATTATTGTTTGTGCAGAAAAAAATGTTGGGTTTCATTTCCAAGTGTCTGGTCCCTACTGCTTGTGTTTCATGACCAATTAATTACGTTGCCGACACAGGTCAAAGAAGTTTTTTATTTTTTGGTTTTTTTTGTTAGTTATGGCGCTGGCTATGTAATGTTTTGTTAGTTATGGCGCTGGCTATGTAATGTTTTGTTAGTTATGCTATCTTAATCTTAATAACTACTATCTGATTTGATGCCATGAGTTTGATTGGATCCTTTGTTTAAAAGAGGGGTGTTGTTTAAACACTTAAATATTGACATTTGCATTGTATACTAACATCGTAGAATTTTTTTTCTAATTTAAAAAAAAAAAAAAAAACACGTAAACACTGCCGTCCATTGAAAAGGCGACACACTTTAAAATTGTACTCTGCCGTCCATTGAAAAGGAGATAATGTCCAAATTTTTATAAATTATCGCCCATTGAAAAGAAGGTAATGTCCAAATTTTTATACATTGTCGCTCATTGAAAGGGCGACACCTTTTAATATTTTAACTCTTCCGCCCACTGAAAGAACGACAACCTTGTATCAAAAACACAAATTTTTTTTAAAACATGACATTATGGTATATTTATTGAAAATGATGACATTATGGAAAAAAAATTTGTATTATTTTATTATTTTATATTATTTTTTTAAAATTTTATTTTATTATTGAAAAAAATTTGTAATAACATAATAGAGGAGAAAGAAATTCAACACCGAATACAAATACATCTTTTATAACAGGTCATGTGAGAAAATAAAAGAGAATAATAAAATGATAACTTAGAGTTTCTCTATAAAAATATTTTGAATACTAAAAATGATAACTTGGGCAATTATTAAAAAAGTTAGTAGCGACTATTAAAATTAAATTAATATACAAAAAATTTAATTGATGTTCTGAGCTAATTGTAGTTCTAAAAAAGATAATCTTAGCTACTAATACATCATATTCTCTTAGATATGATGGAATGATGTCCCACGTTTTTCGCCGCGATAGATGTAAGTGGTTTTAATCGTATGCCATACATAAATTCAAATATCATCTCACTCTCCATCTCAAAATACATCTATAAGTGCTTCCAAAACTCTAACTCTCCCTACATCAGATACTAATCCAATGTAGTGAGTTCTCCTTCTGTTCTAACTCAACGACATGCCATTTTATGTATTATCTCAAAATACATCTATAAGTCCTCCCGATCCCGTAGGAGAAGCTCTAATTCTCCCAACATTAGATACCAATCCAATGTAGTGAATTTCCCTTCTATTCCAATTCAACGACATGCCATTTTATGTATTATCCCACTCTCCACCTCAAAATTGTACTCTGCCGTCCATTGAAAAGGCGACACACTTTAAAATTGTACTCTGCCGCCCATTGAAAAGGAGATAATGTCCAAATTTTTATAAATTGCCGCCCATTGAAAAGAAGGTAATGTCCAAATTTTTATACACTGTCGCCCATTGAAAGGGCGACACCTTTTAATATTTTAACTCTTCCGCCCACTGAAAGAACGACAACCTTGTATCAAAAACACAATTTTTTTTAAAACATGGCATTATGGTATATTTATTGAAAATGATGACATTATGGAAAAAAAATTTGTATTATTTTATTATTTTATATTATTTTTTTAAAATTTTATTTTATTATTGAAAAAAATTTGTAATAACATAATAGAGGAGAAAGAAATTCAACATCGTATACAAATACATCTTTTATAACAGGTCATGTGAGAAAATAAAAGAGAATAATAAAATGATAACTTAGAGTTTCTCTATAAAAATATTTTGAATACTAAAAATGATAACTTGGGCAATTATTAAAAAAGTTAGTAGCAACTATTAAAATTAAATTAATATACAAAAAATTTAATTGATGTTCTGAGCTAATTGTAGTTCTAAAAAAGATAATCTTAGCTACTAATACATCATATTCTCTTAGATATGATGGAATGATGTCCCACGTTTTTCGCCGCGATAGATGTAAGCGGTTTTAATCGTATGCCATACATAAATTCAAATATCATCTCACTCTCCATCTCAAAATACATCTATAAGTGCTTCCAATCACGTGGGAGAAACTCTAACTCTCCCTACATCAGATACTAATCCAATGTAGTGAGTTCTCCTTCTGTTCTAACTCAACGACATGCCATTTTATGTATTATCTCAAAATACATCTATAAGTCCTCCCGATCCCGTAGGAGAAGCTCTAATTCTCCCAACATTAGATACCAATCCAATGTAGTGAGTTGCCCTTCTATTCCAATTCAACGACATGCCATTTTATGTATTATCCCACTCTCCACCTCAAAATACAACTATAAGTGCTCTCGATTTCGTGGGAGAAGCTCTAACTCTCCCAACATCAGATATCAATCCAATGTAGTGAGTTCCCCTTTTTCTCTAACTCCGATGAATACATTTTTTCCTATTATCGGCCATAATACATTGTAATCGAAATCGGGTGTTCTTACCTGAGAGACACCGAAATCTTAGATTGCAAGCTATGGTTGATCCAATTCATACTAAACCTCTTAAGGATTATGTTATTCTCACCGAAGAGGAACTACATCGTAGTATTGTGCATCCGTCGATTGCGACAAATAATTTTGAATTAAATTCTTCTTTGATTGGTATGATACAACAAAATCAATTTTTCGGTTTACCTTATGAAAATATGAATCTTCATCTTTCTATATTTGTTGATAATTGTGGTACCGTTAAGGCTAAAAGCATTGACCAAAACATTATCCACCTTCGTTTATTTCCCATTTCTTTATGAGATTGTGCGCGGACATGGCTCAAATCCTTGCCCGCCAATTCTATTACTTCCTAGACCCAATTAAAAGCGAACTTTCTTGTGTGATACTTTCCGTCAAGTAAAACAGATCAAGTTAGGAATGTGATTAAGAACTTTAGGCAAGAAGATAAAGAATCATTATTTGATGCGTGAGAGCATTATAAAGATTTGTTAAGACTATGTCCTTTTCATGGGCTTGAGAAGTGGATGATTATTCATACCTTTTACAATAGCATCATTTACTCCACAAGGATGACCTTAAATGTGGCCTCTGGCACAGCCCTGATGAATAGTCCTTAAGATGTAATCTATAACTTAATAAAAGAGATGGTCAAAGACCACCACTCATGGATAAGTGTGCGATAAATTGTCACTAAGTCTACCCCTAAGACCTGTGGTCTTTATTAGGTTAATGTGTTTGGCCATATGAACGCTAAGGTGGATGCCTTTTACCAAAAGATAGATAGTTTAAGCATCACACCTTCCACACCCGTTACCCCTGCTCTTGCTACTTCTATTTCCCTCGTTACTCTCTATTATGAGATATGCGGAGTTAATGGGCATACCGATAGAGACTGTCAAATGATCCTCGCTAGAGAATCCGCCCAAAAAGTGCAAACTTTGTGAACAATAACCAACGTAACAATCCGTACTTCAACACCTCTAACCCGGGGTGGCACAATCACCCAAATTTCTCTTATAGGAACAACAACCTCAAACAAGACATGGAAGCGTCAGATTTTCAAAAAAATCTACACCAGTCGAGCCTAAGAAATCCAACCTAGAAATTTTGATGGAATCTTTCGTGTTGACGCAAACCCATCAAATCGATGAGTTTAGAAATCAAAACCTCCTCACCAACGAGGCACTCAGGCAGTTGAATGCTAAGGTTGACAATATCGCCATTCATACCAAAATGTTGGAGACTCAAATCTACCAAGTAGCTCAATAACAAACTGATTCTTCCGTCCTTCCAAGATCATTTCCAAGGCAACCCAAACAAAATCCCAATAGACATTTGAATGTTTTGACAACCGTAGTGGTTAGAAAATGGTTAGTTCTAGTGTGTGTGTAGAGTGTGTGTGTGTGTGTGTGTGTGTGTGTGTGTGTGTGTGTGTGTGTGTGTGTGTGTGTGTGTGTGTGTGTGTTTGTGTGTGTGTGCCTGAGAGAGAGAGAGAGAGAGAGAGAGAGAGAGAGAGAGAGAGAGAGAGAGAGAGAGAGAGAGAGAGAGAGAGAGAGAGAGAGAGAGAGAGAGAGAGATTGAAGAGAGTGTGCCAACACCATCAGAAAAGGAGGTCGTTGAAGAGTTTGAGAAGAAAGCACCCTATGTTTCTCCTCCTCCCAAGAAACCTATTGTTCCTTTCCTATAAAGGCTTGTGAAAGCCAAAGTGGAGGCCCAGTTCAAAAAATTTGTGGATTTTCTCGAAAGGATTCACCTCAATGTGCCATTCATCAAGGCACTAATTCAAATTCCCTCATATGCTAAGTTCTTAAAAGATATTTTTTTTTAATAAAAGAAAGCTAGAAGGCCATGAAATCATGGCCATGACCCTTTATAGTAGTGGCGTGATTCAAAACATGGTAATCCCTAAGCTTAAAGATCTTAGAATTTTATCTATCCCTTGTCATATAGGTACCATGGATTTAGAGGGAGCACTTTGTTATCTAAGATATAGTGTTAGCTTGATTCCTTTATCTGTATGTAAGAAGTTTGACATAGGAGTGATGAAACCTACTAATGTGTATCTGCAACTTGCTGATAGATCGATTACAGATCCTATAGGTGTGTTAGATGATATTCCGGTGACAGTTGAAGAGTATTATATGTTGGTTGACTTTGTTATAATGGACTTTAATGAAGATTATAAAATCTCGATAATTTTATCTAGGCCTTTCTTAGCTATGACGAGGGCCACCATAAATGTCAAGAGAGGGAAGTTGACTTTTGAGGTGAAAGTAGATAAAATTGAATTCATTCTAGAAAACTATTTAAGAACTCTTTTTAAAGTATTCTTGTTGTTTCATGGACTTGCTAACTGGTTGTGTTCAAGAGAGTGCATCGACACCTCCTCTAAAAGATAATTTGGAAGAACCCTTGCTTGGTGATGTTGAGGTTGATACCAAAGCTATGGGTTATGGAGATGCCTTGCAAGAAAACCTTATCCTCACTAACCAAGGCCTTGATGTGCTTGTTATGAAAGGTAATGAATCCAAGAATCATTGGACCTTTCTAA